TCCAGAAAACTTACCAAAAAACTTTCGCCTTGGTAAACCAGTATTCAAAGAAATTGGTAGTAAAACAACTTTGGCAAGTTTAATTGGTCTGAATCTCATTCATTATTCCACATTTTAAAAGTAAGCACTGGTTGGCTTTCCAAACCAGTGGAGCAGTGGAATTCAGACCAGGCTTTTAGAGTTGCAGAACAATTTGTTTTACAGTTAAAGTTATCAACAATACAGCGAAGCGTGGTATCAAGTTAATTTTGGATTTTGCTACAATCATTATAACTGATATTGAGCAAAAGGCATGATTATTGCAGGGTATTGAACAGCATAGAAAGTTATATTCCGGTTTTGATAAAAAAAAAATAAATTTATGAAACTGTAGTGCAGTACTTAGTACTATATGAGCGTGTTGAGTATAATAGATTAAATACTTTTAAGTAAATTACTAATTTTTCAAGTAAAGTCCTTCACTTTTTGTTATATTTAGTCACAAAATTGACAAAAACATTTTTTTTTTTTTAAGTTGAATTGTTATATGTAACATTAACTTATATTTTATGTAGATCTAATTACCTATATATAGAACATGATTTTGTTTAAATTATGTTGTTATATTTATAGAATTATAACATTTTATAATGTAAAAGATTTTTAATTTTTTCTCGAAAAATAAGGTTCAAATTCGGAGGCCTTGAGGAACCTCAGTATCACTTATCAAAAATCTGTATTTTTAGACATTATTGATATTATAATGGGAAAAACTTCACTTCACGGCGTTTTGACACTTCATACTAATTCTGGACAACTCTAATATATATATATATATATATATATATATATATATATATATATATATATATATATATATATATATATATATATATATATATATATATATATATATATATATATATATATATATTTACATCAAATATATAACATATATATATTCAAATATGAATATATATCAAATATGAATATATTCATTTGATATAGTTAATTTATATCTGTCCATACCAATTAACGAAGCTGTTCCAGTTAATATTGATATATTGAATGACATTGACAACTTAAAGTGCGGCCATGGGGCAGTGGTTAGAGCGCTTGCTTTATAAGCAAGAGATCCAAGTTCCAAACGAGCCTTGGACATATTTTCGCGCCACAGTTAGGAAGGAAATGTGAACTTCCAAGTTAAATGCACTTCCGCTGTGTTCTGTGACAAGACCGTTAGGTCTTCTTGGGGCACCTAAATAACAATAAATGCAGGGCTCGAATTAAGCGTATCACAATCGCGAGTCGCGATTGCTTTTTATACTTTTGCAATTGGTTTACTTTTTTAGTTGTTTATTTACTTTTTTTCTAACTTAGCTTTTTCTTTTGGCAATTCTTAAAAAGTAATGTTTTCATAGTAAAGTAAGCCACGCAAAGTTTGTCTTTTGAATAGAAGCATGATCATTTGCTCTTTTGCGCAGAGATTTTTATTCAACGTAAAGCACTTTAATTTAAATTACTTTAAATCTCTGTGTAGTTGCAAATTAAAAAGACAAAAGTTAAAAAGAATTTTTTCTTCATTCTATTTTTTTTAACAAAACAGCATTTTTATCTTTTTTTTTAAAAAAATGTTGCTTTAAATTAACTTATTAATAATGAATTAAATTATTATTTTATAAACAATTTTATATAATTATTTTTACTACTTTAAGTATATTAAAATATATATTATTTCGTTTTTATTAAATAAAATTTCTATTAGTAAAATTGTACTAATAGAAACCAGCAACATTTTTGCTTTCACGTTTTTCGCTTTTAACGACCTTGAAACTATTGAAGTTATATTTAATTAACCTTACTGAATGGATAGAGTATATCACTGTAAATTAACTTATAACCTAAATTAAAACAACTAGTTAAATTAAGATAGTAACTTAAGATAGTACTCAAGTATTAATTTAACAATTATATTAATTTATTTAATATACTCGCAAAAGTTAGCCATAGACATGCTTTAATTTAGATCTTACATGTTGTAAAAACATAATATAAGCTTTTAACTAATAATTATTTTAACAAAAATTGTCGAATAGAATATGAAAAATGCAACACCATTTTTTTATATTTTCATTTTATTTATAGCGACATCTAGACTAAACATTTTCTATAAATACGCAAGTTGTTTTCAGGAATTTTATTTCAAAAGAAATCTATTTGAACAAGAGAAAATTTTCAAAAGAAAATCTATTTGAACTTTAGCCTTAAAATTCACTTATTCAAATAATTTTGTGATTGAAATTTGAAATTGAAAAAAAAAATTTAAAAATTTAAAAAAAGTTTGATGAAACAAGGGAGAATGAAGATGAAAGTTTTTTTTTCATAAATCGTAAATCTTGTTGAAGTTTTGAATTATATATTTTTTCTTGAAAATAGTTTTAAAAGAACAAACATTCTATTGCAAACATCAAAGCTGTGATTGCAAAATGTAAGTTAAAATAAAAATTATAAAAATTTTATAATATATTTAATACATTATTTTACTTCTGTTCGCAAAATTTTTTCTAAAAAAATAATTCAAACATATCCTTACACTTAATATAATTCGATTTAATAAACAAAATTTTTTGTTTCACTTTTTTTGGAAAACAATAAGAATAAAAAAAAATTGAATGAAAACATTTTAAAAACCTTTTGAATGATAAACTTAATTATACTTAAATTTTTAATAGTACGCTTGATCAGGAAACAATAATTTATAAAAGACGCGGTATCTAATGTTTTTTTGCTTTGATCTTACTCATTTCGTCTATAGATTACAAACAAGTATATGTCTATAGGTGCAAATATGAAGTTTTGTTTTAGTTTATTAACTAGCTCAATTTTAATTATTTGCTTCCTTTTATTTTAAACGCGTTTTATTTTATAAACTGTATAAAATTAAAACAAAACAGCTTCACAAATTTGTTTTACATTATTCCAAGCTCTTTATATTTTTAAAACAACTTTGCAGTTTGTTTTAATGTTGTTTTATAGCTTTTAACAATTAAATACTTTTTTAAATTAACATGTGATTTAACGTCAGCATGAACGTATTAAATAGTTTTCTTTGACTAATTAAAGATATTGTAATGTAGCTTTTTCTCTTACTTTTGTACTTTTACTTTTTTAAGTATCATGTTAAGTAAAAATATACTTAAAAAAATATCTTAATAGTATTAAAAACATTATTGCTTATTACAACTGCAACTTAAACTTTAAGTTATAACTTAAGTTGTAAATAATAACAGTAACTTACACTATTTTAAACTCTGCCAAACAAGAAAATTATAAGATTATATTTAAATATAAGAGATGATATGTTAAAAATAGAACAATTACGTACCAAACTTACAATTATATACTAACGCAACTTCCCTTTCCTCCCCCACCCCCCACCCCCATTACCACAAAGCAGCGCAAGGTATGGGGGGGGGGGGGGATTTTTCTTTTTCGCGATTAGAATTTTTTGCGTTAATTAAAGCCCTGAAATGAAAAAAAAAAAAAAAAAAAAAAGACTCGAACAAAACTTTTGCTTGTAGACATACACCAATTAATAATTCGCTTGTAGACATACACCAATTAATAAAACTTTTATTGTGTATTTGCTATTTTTTATATAAAAACAAAATCTGAATAATATTAAATTTAGGTCCTATAAGTTTGTCTTTAAAGGTTGTTTTGGTAGAAACGATTCTACAAAATATAGAAAAAAATGCACTTAATAAAGCTACTATTCTTACACGTGAACCAAAAACTTTCATGAGGAATGTAGACAATTACCATGCTTGCTTTAACTTAATAAAGCAAAAAATGTTTCTAAATACCCTAAACAAACAAAATCCTGCCATAAAATACACTGTTGAACTTGAAAACCACTAAAAACAACCTTATTTTCTAGATATTATTACTACAAACACAAGGTATGGAGCCTACGAATTTCAAATACATCGAAAAGAAAACAATAACTACTATTCCACTTAAACCAAACTCAAGCATCAATCCTAATATTATCACTAGCAAATTCAAAGGGTTTTTATGCCATGCAAAAAGAATACGCTCTCAAAAATACCTACAACAAAAATTGATTTTCTAACAAAAACATTTTTGAAAACAGGCATTACAAGAACAATTTAACTAATATCGCCAGAGACTACATAAAAAAAGATTTAAAAAGTACCAATTATCAACCAAGTGATAACCATCCATTTATAAAGCAACCATGGATACCAATCATTGGTCCCAAACTTAGGAAAGAATTTTAAAAGCAAAACATAAAAGTTATACTCACATCAGCTCCAAATAGCAAAACTATATTCTGTAAAAATAAAGCAAAACTCCCTCCAAATACAAATCCAGGTGTCTACCAAATAAAATGGTTTTGGTGAAACCAAAAAGAAAATTACATCAAGATATATTAAAATAAAAAAATTATATAGACAAAGAGTATAAAAAAAAATGGGCCAGTTCGAGTGCTACTGAGCATTTTTAATCATCCCAAGGTATGTTTGAATATTATTCAGATTTTGTTTGACTGATTACATTCAAAAACCACTTCAATTGTTCAAGAATATCATATTCAATAAATTCAAGAATCGCTGGAAAAAAAACAAAGCTAAAGTTTAACAAGAGTTGGGAAGTGGCAAAAATGTTCTTAATAGAGATGATGGTTATAACGTGACAACAAAAAATCATAAATCATATTTTGTCTTTTCTTATATATATAATATAATATAAATATATATATATATATATATATATATATTTATATATTTATATATATATATATATATATATATATATATATATATATATATATATATATATATATATATATATATATATATATGTATTATATTACATTATATTATATATATATAAGAAATATATATGTATATATATATATATATATATATATATATATATATATATATATATATATACATATATATATATATATATATATAATTTTTTACATGTACCTGCATTTTCATACTCTTGATTGTGAGTTTCAACTAAAACAGGATCTATCTTTAACAATCGTTCTTTATCTAATACTTTAAATGCTGACCCAAACGGATGTCCAATCAAATCTTTACAACTAAAAAAAAAGTTTTCCATTTTTTCTACTTTAGCTGAGTTGCTAACATAGACATACTTTAGATTGTTGCCTTTCTTGATTATGACACCTTTTCCTGATTCAACAACGGTCATTTTAGTTTTTGACTAAAAACATATTTTTATACAGTAATTAGCACACTTATTATTGCTTAAATTTCAGTTTAAAAAAACTAACTGTTTTTTATAATTTTTATAGTTTTTTCTATAGTTTTTATTGAAATAAGTAGATTTTGATTAATAAAATTTACTTAAGCCTAAAGAAACACGTGGGAAGGTTGTAAACATTAAAAATGGCAGTTACTTTGGCTTCACTGACCTTAAATAACATTGTATATGTTTATTTTTGTACAAATTATAGGGCGTGAGAATATGCTAACTGGCGGGACGATGTTCGCTTTTTCCCGATTAAGCGCAAGATCTTTTTTACTAAAGTCACTCGTACAAAAATCGAACTCTAGGTTGTGTTTTGGTGTGGTAAGAAATATGTCGTATACTTGTCAGCATCATGGGTCTGCATATACATCTGATTACAGATTGTTTTTAAGTAAGTTACAATTTTTTGACTTTATTACAGATATTTAATACTGTACTAAGCAATCGCAACAATTGGCGCTTATCACACTCATTTTGTGTCTCTATTTTGTTAGAATAAGTATAATCTAAAATTTATGCTGATTAAGAATCGTAAAGGCCTGAGAATCGAAACAAAATTTATAATAATTTATTTATATTGAGTTTTGACTCTTTTTGAATGAATGATCTTGCCTCTTAATGGCAATGCTTTTTTCTCCCATTTGAAAAAAAACTGTTGTTCTTGATCAACTTTGTTCATTTCTTCATTGTACAAACTAATTACATTTTCTAGTTAAAGTACTTTTATAAAGAACAATAACAATTTTAATTCTTATAAGTTTTTCTACTCTAAAATAAACAAAGTAAATAATCGAAACACAACATTCTCTGCAGCCATAACATAAACAAAGTGAATAATATAAACAAGATTCTTCATGTATCTTCTTCTATAAGTTGTAATGGTCCAAGACTTACTCTTAAGGATCTACGAGTGTCTTTTCCAGTTGTTATTGATAACAGCAGATCAATTGGACCAAAAACATTGACAAAATTTTCAGCTAGTGGAGGTTGATAAAGAGGAGGCTGTTTTGGAGAGTTTTCAGCAAAGGTGTTGGTAAGTCTATATTTCTCAGGTTTTAACAGATTATAAGGGTAAGAAGGTTTATTAAAAGCATTCTTCGGTGAAGGTTCAATATGATTTGTTTGTTCAATGATTGGAGCGGAACTTTTTGGAGATAAGTATCTTAGCGAAACTGTGGTTTCTCTTCCATCTGGGTACCTTATGTGAGCATATTGAGGATTAGCATCTATAAGTTGAACTTCGTCTACCAGTGGTTCATACTTATTATTACGTAAATGTCTTTTCATTAGTATTGGTCCAAGATGACATAACCATGAAGGTACAGTGCATCCATTGGCTGTTTTATGAAGGTGCTTAAACATTCTTTCATGCTGTGTCTCCATTGTTTCAGTATTTATTAATGATCTTATAGAATGGAGAACATTTGGCAATACTTTTTCCCAAGCTTTGATGGGTAAATTGTGTTGTCTAGTAGCAGTCTCAATACACTTCATTATAGTTCTATTATACCTTTCTACTTGACCATTTCCTTGGGAATTATATGCTGTAGTATGACTTGTCGCAATACCTTTTTCTAGTAAGTATTGTTTTAATTCTTTACTGATGAAGACTGAACCTCTATCACAATGGATCTAATGGATCCTCTATCACAATGGATCAATGGAACCTCTATCACAATGGATCAATGGATATAAACCAAAAGCTGAGAATACTTGTTACAAACACTTAATTACAGCCTGAGATTAAATATCCAGGCACGGGATCGCAAAGAGAAACTGAGAAAACTCATCAATTATGGTTAAAAAATACTTGTTTTTAGTTTCTGAAGGAAAAGTCCTTTAAAATATAAGTTTAAACGTTCCAGTGGTTGTGTCGCCTTTATCCAATTAGATTTTAATGGTTTGTAGTATCTAGGCTTACATTCACAACATTCAAGCCTTCCCAGGAAAGGCGTGCAGTTTTTTGTCTTGTATGACCATGCGTGAGTATTTTACTTTAGACAACTTGGTCATGGTCATTTGCAAATTTTTTTATATGCGTTGCTGACAAAAGTTTTAAAAACAAATTAACAAAATAGAAGTTTAAAATAAACTTAAATAGAAAATAATAATAACAATAATTTAAATAATTTGTGTACTGTTTTTATTTTTGTTTCTTCATAGTGATTATTATTTTTGGCAACAAAATTCTGAGTCAAATCAAAAAAAAAAATTTTAATAGATTAAAAAAAAAAATTAAATAGAATGATTTTCCTATATTTTGTTTTTTAAAGGGGACAGCGAAAATATAAATTGCCATCTGTTTGTAAAATATATTTGTATAATTTTAATGTAACAAGTATATATCAAGGGGTGAATCAAGTGATTGCGATTTGCAAACCCTGGAAAAATATATGATCTTCAAAAATTTAGTTTATTTTTTATTTCATCGCTCGCTCTTTTTATAAAAGAGTAGAACAAAAGAGAAAGAAAAGTTTTGCGTAATTAAACTTCGAATGAATAAGAGTTGTATAGAATATATATATATATATATATATATATATATTTTTTTTTTTTTTTTTTTTTTTTTGCATCACTCATTCTTTTTTTAGATGAGAGGAATAAAAGTTTAATAGTAACTTTTCTTTGAATAAATGAAAATTGGAAGAGAAAATTGCTTGAAATTTTGTATTTGTTGTGTTTTTTTGTTTTTTTAGTTTATCATGTTAAGAGACAAATGCCTAATACAATACAAATTGGGAAATACCAAATATAATATATTTTTTTACGCGCTTTATGACATTTTGACAATTTAAATTACCATTTATCTTAAATTATTGCCATTAATTAATGTGTTAATTATTGCGTTATATAATAATAGTTTGTCCGTATTTTTGTTAAATATTAGTTGTATAAAACGGGCGAAAATATACAAACTTCATGTTTTTTATTTGATGGTTATAAAGTATTGAACAGTAAACTTATAATCAAAATTTATAATGCCAACTTGTGTTGTTATTACTTGTACTTTTAATACAAAACCAGAATCTCACACATCCTTTCGAATTTTTATATCTGATACTACTGTCAACTGTATTGTTTAGTGTATTCTTGTACTTTTTTTCATAACCTTAACAGGTTCTAATTGATATGGAGTTGCCGACATTTTAAAAGTTTCATTATCAAAAATCAAATGTAAAATAAAATGATATTTCCTTTTTATCCGTATCCAATTCAGCAAGTTTAGCCATTTAAAATAAATCAGCGTAAAAAAATTTTTATAATAAAAAAAGTTAACAATTCATCAAATATCTTTAATTAATACTGTCAGTTATGAAATTAATTGTTAATAAAGACAGGAAAACAAAAAATATCATAGTGTAAAAATAACCAGAGAAGTTAGAAAAAAGTTCCTATTGTTTAAATAAAAATAAGTAAGATTCAGAATATATAATACTGGGCTCTTTTGCACAAAAACAAGAGACAGTATACATAACGTTCTATATAATGTAAAACACTCATATGAAAATCATAAGATTCGTAAGTAAAGCTTTAATATTTGTTTTAATTTAAAAACAAAAGAAATATAAGTAAGACATATAAATCTAAAAATTATTAAGATGTTGGTAAAAAAAAAGTTCCTATTATGAAATAAAAAGCTTTTTTTTATTTTTTATTTTTACAAAAATTTGTTGTAAAAGTTGTTTTGCTGTAAAAAAATTTTTTCTTAATTAAAGTAGAAAAACGCAGCTTTTTTTTAATTACACTTTTCTTTTGTTAAAAATCTACCGTGACGTCAAATGCTAAAACTTTTATGAATTAAACGCCCTTCAAGGGAATTGCCAAAGTCTGTAGATTTCGACCTATAATTTAAAGACTCATATAAAACAACAACATTAATTTTCCTCAGTATGCATTCATTATTTATTAAACCTTTTTTTTTAATATCATCATTAATATGAACACAACATGTATTGGTAGTTTGGGATCCCTTTAAAACATTGATTATTATTTTTTGCATCAATTTCCAAATCATATTCATTTTTATTATATTTTATAGATTTTAAAACTTTAATATGTGTTTGTAAAATAATTAAAAATAAAATAGTACTTTATTTGCGCAACTTTTTAAAAATAATCGCATTATTATTTAGGTTAAAATAATTTTTAACCTAAATAATAATGCACTTTTATTAATTTACTTTGTAAATACTAAAAAAAAAATCATTAACGCATTTTTTCTCTGATTTTTAAAAATTTCTTTTTTGGTATTAAAGTGATCTTATTTCATTATTTATATTTCCATTATTATAACATCCAATTTATATTATGGCGAGGGCTTAAAAATTAAAAAATTAATGTATATTAATTTTTATTTTATGGACATACACAGAAACATAATTAACTTGAATATTCTTAAAATGTTCTTACGTTAATTCAAATTTTAACTGTTTAAATTCAGTTGCGGCACTTGTAAGACCCGATGGGTCCCTTTGTACTGATGACTGTGAAAAATCTAGCCTTCTGAACAATTTTTTTGCTTCAGTGTTTGTCTCTGACAATTGTACTAAACCTGTGCTAGACCTACCATCCCACAATAATTCTTTGAATAATGTCTTATTTTCTTATGATTCTGTTCTATCAGCTCTTCAAAAACTTCCACCAAAGTCATCAAAATCACCTGATGGGTATCCTGCCTTATTCCTGAAATCGATTGCTAATATTATTATATCCCGTTCTCTCTCCTTTTCGAGTTGTCAATGTTAACCAGTGTAATTCCAAATATTTGGAAAACCACATGTATGTCCGATTTTCGAGAAAGGTAACCCCTCCTTATTTACAAACTACAGACCTATTTCAATGACTTGTATTAGTTGCAAAGTTATGGAGTCAATTATTGATAATAGTTTAAAAAGGTACCTTCAACTTAATAACTTTATCTCTATTCACCAATTTAGGTTCTTAAAGCGTAGATCTACATGTACACAGATGTTAGCTTCTCTTAATGAATGGACCTCAGCTGTTAACAAGAAAAAGGAAGTTGATATTATCTATATTGACTTCGAAAAGGCTTTCGACTCTGTATCGCATTCTAAGTTAGTGTATAAACTGAATTGTTACAGCATTAAGTACGAACTTCTAAATTGGATTACCAACTTTTTAACTGACCGATCCCAATGTGTTTGCATTGGTAATTCTTACTCAAACTACGTACCTGTAAAGAGTGGAATACCCCAAGGAACTGTGTTGGTTTCGACTTTATTCTTATTATTTATTAATCATGTAGTTTCTTGTATTGAAGGTGATTGTCGAATAAAGCTGTTTGCTGGCGATAGCAAATTGTACCAAACGAGAGACTAAAATAACAATGCTGACCTTAAAATATCATTAAAAAAGTTCTCTGATTGGACA